TAGGGTTTGCTTATGGGGAGTTCTGGAAGCATTGGGGACGAAAAGGAGGCTGAAGAAGTGGTTTAAATAGGGTGCCAACCCTCATCTAGGGTTTTTGTCCGGACATCGCCTACTCGCCGAGTCCGGACGCGGACTCGTCGAGTAGGTCATTAAACTTCTGTGTCCAATACGCTCCGACTCGATGAGTTGGACCTCAACTCACCGAGTCCAAGGCCAAAATGCAAAATACAACAAAATAAATTACATACGAGGAACCGAGTGCTACAGTAAGACCAAGTAGATGTTTGGCCCCAATTTGGAAAATTAGGCCATATAATGGGCTTTGGTCCATTGGTTGACTATTGGGCCTATGGAGTGTGAGTTGGACCTTGGGCTTGGAACCCAATTATTAATTGGGTGTTGTTTTGATGTTGACAGCTCGGGAATTTGTCAACCAACAGCTGGAGTTTTATCCACGGAACGTCAGCAGTGTGAGGTGAGTTTCGCCTCACTATACCCGTGGGTCTAAGGGACCAAGCCCGACCCACTAGTATTGATTATCTGCTAGTAGAGGGATGCCCTAGGGACCGTATATATTCATGTAGGATAGACTGAGCACTCTTGATCTAAGCTCTCTTACATGTTCCTTATTTGGTTGTGGTTTTAGAGTAGGGTCACCTATCCGGGTGACTATTTTACCTCTGAGTATATACGGTTATGCATTTCTTGGATTGTTGATATTTAGTATGTTGTTATGCTGTAGTGATCTAGTAGATCTGTGTTCTGGTATTGAGTATACTGTTATGCTGTAGTAATCTGCTAGATCTGTGTTCTGGTATTGAGTATGCTGATATGCTGTAGTGATTAGTTAGATCTGTCTCCTGGTATTGAGTATGTTGCTTTGTGGCAACAACCTGTTGTAACATCCTAATTTTCAAGTAGCTTCAAATTCATCCCTCGGATTTGAATTATGTCACTTTTGGCCCTTGGTTTGGAAGGAAGCAGAAAGAAAGGACCAAGCATGAAAAGGTGGCAACTGGTTGAGTACGCCCAACGTAAGCTGGGGTACGCCCAGTGTAGAAGGTTTAATGATCGCGGGTGCGGGAGGAGTACGCCCAACGTACTCTCAAAGATCCTAAACCCTAATTTGGGGGCTAGCCGCTATATAAGGAACATTATGGCTCAAACCCTAGCCTCCTTATCAGCCTCCCCAACCTCAGAAAAACCCTAGAACGTCTCATCCCTTCATTCTTGTGTGATCTTGATCTTGAGAGGCCATCTTGGTGTTTTTAAGCTTGGAAATTTCATTGGAGTTGAACATATTAGGTCGACTTATACATCCTAATCTGAATCCTTTATTAGGTTATTGCATAGTTGAAGAAGAGAAACTCTTGGTTTACAAGTACTAGCCCAATGGAACTTTATCATCAACATTGCATAATGACAGGAGCTTATTATTTCTTGCTTCTATGAAAGAATCAAGAGATGTTAAGAGAGGGCCAACAACAGACTGCAACTGATAATTTGTTGGAGGTGATGGTGATTGTCGGAGTGCCGGAGGTGATGGTGGTTGCAATATATTTGAACTAGAGATGGTTGGATGAATGTGGGTGAGAGGGACCATTTTAAGTCAATGTGGTAATGTGAAAACTAATTTGCATTTACATTAGCAATATAGTGGATGAGAAAACCGAGTCCAACTTATTTATTCAAGGACAAAATTATACGATTTTTGTCGAACATAATGTTAAATCTAAATTTTTTAAATGATAGTGATTGTTTTGTATAAAGTATAAACACCATGATTTAATTTTTATTTTTTACTTTTTTTTAATTGGCGACGTTGAATAGTTCGACGTACGTATCTTACAAGTAACATTGACGAAGACCAAATTGAAGTATTGAACTATGGAAGTCAAGTCCTTAGACCTTACGGTTAGTGATGGCAGATCAGTGTTCCTTTCGTCAAACTTGTTCACTATTATTATCTGTTGAACGCACTGAATGAACAAAAAATCAAACATTTTGAAATGGTAAAAAAGAAACTTCTCTGATGCCGACATATGAACTTTTTTCGTCTCTCTCCAACTTCAAGTCAAGTCTTCGTTCTTCAGTCTGGTACGTCATTATCGATTATCTATTTGATATAGCCGCGTGAAAATTTTCCTACATCATGGCATTTTTAACTAAAACTTCACGCTTCATTTTCATGCAATTATAACGATTACATACTCTGTTTTGTTCTGGGGTAAGCTTCAATTTCGAACTCTTTGAAATGGTCGTTGCATCTTAGATTGAGACATCTTAAAATTCTTCGTTTCCCTCAAAGTCAAGTCTCTATTCAATCTAGCTAGCACACTTACTATTGTTTAATTTATTTAATCCAGTGTAGATTTGGTCTCCCTTTCACATTTGATTTTTCATGAAATTGGGAGGACTATATACTCTGTTTCATTTAATCTAAGCTTCAATTTTAGTATATAAGGTTTCTAGTTGAGAAATTGAGTTAGATTAGCAAGATGGGTAGCATTTTAAGAAGTATATTACCGATTCGTTCTTCAAAACAGGATGAAGATGATGATGAATTCAATCCGGAGTACTCGTTTGCCATGGAGTATACTGGTCCTCCAGTTTCTTACGATATTCCTAGGGCAGTTCCCGTTGATGTTGCATATATTCCAACCGCTTCAGTTGTCTCCACACCTTTTACTTCTGGTAATCTGTCATTACCAGTTATTCATCCTGTTATTAAGAGAGAGCCTAAATCAATCTCCTCTGAAATCAAGGATACTTCTTTAGTATCCGGTTTGATTGTTCCTGATACACCACCAGAGGGAGAGGGAAGTTCTGCTTCATTAGGGTTTTCTGATAGTCAAGAGAATTCTCAAGAATTCTCCATGAGCTCAGAAGGTGATGGTTTGGATAACTATTGCCATGAGATTGTAGAGTTGTGTAATTCCAGTCAACAAGATGAAAACCAAAATGAAAGCCATGAAGAGATTTCAAGTTATGATAACAGAACTCAGGTTGTCACTTTCGGTGAACCCGAGTCCATTTCCATGGTTCAATCAGAAACTGATTACAGTCAGACTCAGA